TTGCAGGACCTGCAGTCGCTAGTGGGCCATCTTAACTTCACTTGAGGATAGTTACACCAGGCAGGGCATTCTGTGCGCACCTGGCACAGGCTATGGTGGGTGCTTCCGCACTCCATCCCCATATTCAGATAACTAAGAACATGACTATCAAACTATCACACAATTGCACTCATTTCACACGCTAGCCATTCGAGTGGTATTGTCTGCATATCTGAGGTTGTTGATGTTTTCCCCAGCAATCTTAATTCTAACTTGTGATTCATCCAGGCCGGCATTTCACATGATGTACTCTGCATACAAATTAAATAAGCAGGGTGACAATATGCATCCCTGCCGTATTCCTTTTTCTATTCTAAACCAATCAGTTGTTCCATGTCTGGTTCTAACTGCTGCTTCTTGACCCTTATACAGGTTTCTCAGGAGATATGTGAGGTGGTCTGGTACATTCATCTCTTTAAGGACTTGCCACAGTTTGTTGTAGCCCACACGACCAAAGGCTTTAGCATAGTCAATGAAGCAGAAGTAGATGTTTTTCTGGTACTCCCTTACTTTCTCCATAATCCAGCAAAATGTTGGCAATTTGATCTCTCATTCCTCTACCTCTTCGAAACCCAACTTGTACTTCTGGCAGTTCTCTATCCGTACTGCTGATGTCTAGCTTATAGGATCTTCAGCATGAACTTGCTAGCATGTGAAATGAGTGCAATTGTGTGATAGCTTGAACATTCCTTAGCATTGCCCTTCTTTGGGATTGGAATGTAAACTGACCTTTTCCAATCCTGTAGCTACTGTTGCGGTTTCCAAATTTGCTGGCACATGGAGTGCAGCACTTTAACAGCACCATCTTTCAGGAGTTTGAATAGCTCATCTGGGATACCATCATCTCTGCTAGCTTTGTTGTCAGTCATGCTTTCTAAGGCCCATTTGACCGCACACCAGGATGTCTGGCTTGAGGTCAGTGATCACACCTTCATGGTTGTCAAGGATCCTTCTTGTATAGGTCTTCTGTGTATTCTTGCCACCTCTTCCTAATCTCTTCTGCTTCTGTTAGGTCCTTACTGTTTTTGTCCTTTATCACGGCCAGTTTTGCATGGAACATTCCCTTGATTTCTCCAATTTTCTTGAAAAGATCTCTAGTCCTTCCCATTCTATTGTTTTCCTCTATTACTTTGCCCTGTTCATTCAGGAAGGCCTACTTATCACTCCTTGCTGTTCTCTGGAAATCTGCATTCAGTTGGGTAAATCTTTCCTTTTCATTTTTGCCTTTCACTTTCCTCCTTTCCTCAGCTACTTGTAAACCCTCATCAGACAGCCACTTTCTTGCATTTCTCTTTCTTTGGGATCGTGCTGATTGCTGTCTCCTGTACAATGTCACGAACCTCCGTTCATAGTTCTTCAGGCACTCTGTCTATCAAATCTAGTCCCTTAAACCTATTCTTCATCTCCACTGTATATTCATAAGGGATGTGATCTAGGTCAAACCTGAATGGCCTAGAGGTTTTCCCAGCTTTCTCCAGTTTAAGTCTGAATTTTACAATGAGTAGCTCATGAACAATGACAGGGTCAAACAATTAATTATCCAGAGTGACTTCCCAGATCATCTGTCTGTAGTGTCTCTGCTTGGCAAGGAGATGACAAGCAACACTTCAGTCTATGGGCAAAGCCTCCACCATCCTCAAGAACAAGCCGAAAAGTGGAACTGATGCCCCTGCTCTATATCCCTCGTCACTGTCTGCAGAGGGAGAGCTATCTGTATGTAGGGTTGCCATCTCTGGGTTCGGAAATACCTGGAGATCTGACAGTGGAGCCTGGGAGAATGGGGTATAATGCCATGCAGTACACCTTCCAAAGCAGCCATTTTCTACAGGAGAAGTGGAATAAGTGTTTTAAATCAATAATTAATAAATAAGTGATTTATGTAGACTAGAGATCAGTTGTAATTCTGGGAGATCTCCAACCACCCCCTGGAGGCTGGCAGCCCTATCTGCATGCCTGAGTGACTAAGGGAATACATCCACATACTGTATACTCAAAGAAATTAAGAATATGTTCATATTTGTGTATTATATAATACACCTGCATAAACGAAGACAAAAAGAGAGGGACAATCAGTACATATGTGATGTGTATTGTATGGAGTGCAGTGGGAGAATGAGAAGGTGTAAATCTGTTTGGTTCTGGTGTGACAATATAACAACGGACCAAAAAAAATAAGATTGTACAGCTACTATGGTGACTAGTCAAAGCTCCATAAAAGTTTGCAGAAATCTTTGGTAACCTTAACTAGAACTATTACAATCACTCCGTTTGTCAAGTCAAATTGTGCAACCATTGTTACCAAGCTAAATTGCTACTTGGCAAAATGAAAAGTGTTTTCTTTTGCGAGAAGCAACACAAAATGTATTTTATGCTGCTTGTGACTTTGTAATATTTTAATGTACAATCTTTTTTTAAAAATCTGCATCTATTATTAATAATTGTATCCTTCCAAAAATACCCAAGGCAACCAACAATAAAAATTTAACAAATCCATAAAAATAAAAATACAATACAATGAAAACATATATAGAAAAACTATAAATAGAATAATAGAACAAGTAGGCAACATAAACTGAACTATATACCAAGTGAAACAGAAGTATCTTTAACTAACACATGAATAACAATAAGTAAGGCATACACTAATCTCTTGTGGGAGAATGTAAAAGCAGCTGTGCTGAATCAGGAGCCCATTTCACACAGTGGCTAACTGGATGTACCAAGTAGGGCATGGAAGTAAAGCATTTTTGCCTCCTAGCACTGGTATTCAGAGAATTACCACCTTTGAATATTGAGGCTCCAGGCTCTGAATTAGGGTTGCTATTCTACAACTGTGGTGTTACCACAGAAGAAGCCAGTGTGGTGTACTGGTTAAGGGTGGTAGACTCTAATCTGGGAGAACCGGGTTTGATTCCCCACTCCTCCACATGAAGCTAGCTGGGTGACCCTGGGTCAGTCACAGTTCTCTGAGTTCTCTCAGGCCCACCTACCTCACAGGGTGTCTGTTTTGGGGCAAGAAGGGGAAGGCAATTGTAATCTGTTTTGAGACTCCTTTGGGTAGAGAAAAGCGGGATATAAAAACCACCACTGCCACCACCTCCTCCTCCTCCTGAAGTTGGCAGCAACCCTAGGTCACTTAGTGGGGGGTACCTAGAACAGGACTTCAGCAGATTATCTCATTTAAAAGATGGTCTTTCAGACACTCCAGTTTGAAAGGGCTTTAAAGAGCAAAACTATGAGCTGCACTTGGAAATATACTGGAAGCCAATGAAGGTCAATAAATACTGGTGTAATATGCTCACTATGGAATGTATCTGGTAATATCAAAGATGTAGCATTTTGGACCAGCTGCAATTTGAGAAGTCTTTAAAAGGTCTCCCCACATAGAGTACATTACAGTAGTGTAAGTTTTGTGTCTCCAGAAGATGGACAGCTGAAGCTGGATCTTTAGAATGACATCCTATGACCTTCACGGAGTACATAAAGGTTGTTAGGATAGTGACAAAATGGTACTACAGCACAATTAAAAGCAACAAAGGGAAACTGAAGTTGATCCGTATTGGTTTGCATTCTTAGGGAGTATACAGGGAGAATAAAGATTTCCAGTAATACAATGGGTTGGTAATCAGTAATTTACTTCAACAGTGCATAACTCCGCATTTATGCACTGGTGAAGTAAGTGGGATCAGGCAATTTGTGCCTGTCAGACTTAAATATTGATCCTCCCCCCCCCCAAAAAAAAAACAGACTCCCTTTTTGTGCTTATTGTATAAGCTTTAGGAAGCCTCTTGATTGCAGAGCTGACTTAAAACACGTGTTCAGTATTTCCCAAAATCTTTTAAGGATGTATACTCATTTTGGTGGCCAATGACAAGCGGAAAAGGACTTGTATGACAGTGGAGTGATTATCAGGCTTTGCCTAGCATGTTGCCACTGAGGGACCTTCATCACAGACAGATGAAGGAAGTTGGCATATTTTAGCTTATAGAGGTGAGAAGTGGGGGGACTGGGGGAATATTACAGAAATTTGCATGCCTTAAAAGGTTCCTTCTTCTCTACAGAAAAGGCTGTTTAGCTGTGAATTACTACTGGCAAAGCAGATTTAGATTAAGATGCTAAGCTCTGACTTCTAACTGTAAAAAACTGTAAAAAAGATGAGTCTTTGAAAATCTTGTATACAGCACTGCTAGGTTTTTAAAATGTTTTGTAACATAGGGCAATACTTTTTTATCCCCATATGGTAGAGTGGATTTGATGATGACAGAACTGTGGCTTCTTCAAGGCAATCTAGAGTTTACCTCACCAGCATTTGTGGCTCAGTTAAGATATGAATTGGAGCCTGACTCATAGTTCAAACCCTTAGCCACTATCCACATCACTTCTCTAGATGTCCAGAAACTGCAGAATTACCAACAACCAAGGTTAGGTAGAATCTAGCTTGTTTAGAAAATGGCTTGGGAACTGGACCAAGTGTCCAACGAGGTTCAGTCTGCAAATACTTTCATATTCATTCAACCAATAACTTTGATCAAACACTTCATGAGGTTCTGTGCTCTCAAATATTGTGCATTAAAAAGAGTGAATAATACATTGATAAATATTTTATTACCTTTGTCTTTTATGCATGTTAAATTCTAAAAGATGTATTTTCTACCAATCCACTCATTTTCTTCAGTCAACTCCCATAAATTATATTTTTAAAAGCCCCCAAATATGGTTAAACGTACAACCTACAGTTTGTCTACTTTCTCCTCCATCCACAACTTCAGTGATCATCTCATGGGGCCATTTTCTTGAATGGTTCTAGTTTGGTATGTCTGCAATGCTTTTGGCTTCCTGCCACCATATGGCTGGTAAAGTTGATCTTTAGGCTTGCTGGGTAGACGTTAAACATATTTCCAAGATTGTTTGGTGTGTATATCTCAAATGCCAAGTGATTGTACAAATCCTGAACTACATACCTCTCAAGTCTTTTTTAAGTTTGCGGAGATCCTTTTGAAATTCTTCAAATTTTAACTGAGAAGCCTGAAATAAGTCTTGTGGCTCTGGAAGAGGGAAGATACATTGCTCTTTTCCAGCATCCTGACAGAAATATAAAACAAACATTTCCAAACATTAAAGATAAGAACTGTACTTTTTTATCTCCTGTACAAGAAAGCAAATATTGTATCAAAGCAGGACTGTAGCTTGGGTAGGGCCAGGGTTAGGGTTAGGACCCACATGGAGTATTAGTTTGCCATAAGAATTGTAGTTTTTAAAAGTTTTTTTTAAAAACTTGACAAGGAATTGACATTCAAATAATGGGATGTTATTTTTAAAATAGGAACACTTCTAGTTTTTTAAAAATCTACACTAATTTATACTGATCCTGAAAAAAAATCCCCCTTTAGTTACTATGACTAGACACTACAGGGCACTTAAAATAGAAAAAGAAGCTACTATTTAAGGAAGCTGTTAATTATAAGCAGGTAAAAGCTACCAACTTAAAACTTATTAGCTTCATATTAAGGAATTGTAACTATTAAAAATATGCATAACATGGACTAGGTGACAGGAGCGATAGAAATTTATGCTGCTTCTTAAGAAATCAGTGCTTCACTTCTGTGGCAATCCATACAAAGCCAGGAATCCCAGTATCATAACTATAGTTCTGTTGGTCCCATCATGTTTTAGTCAGAGTGTTGGACTAAGAGGACCTGGGTTCAAATTTTCACTGAGCTAGGAAGCCTCACTGGATGACCTACTTCAGAGGTTTATGAGACTAAAACAGAAAGGAAATCTATATGCCATCTCAAGTACTATGGAGGAAGGCTGGGATAAAAATAGAGGATACATAAGATGTGAAGTGACAGCCCTACAAACAAATAGGTTGGGCACTCTTGCTTATCAGTTCTTTGGTGGGGAGATGAAAAAAATGAACCAAGCTTTGAACTGAATTTAAAATGTAATAACAATTATATTTCTGAACTCCTTATGACCACAAAGGATTGCATCTCCAGCTGTGAAGCACAAAAGTTTCATTTATTAATATTGTAGGAAATAAGGACTTAGATTCAGAATAGCCCGAGTGGAAATTAACAAGAGGTACTGATCTCTCCCCCCCCCCCTTTCACCTTTCTGCCACAACTCATTGGGCCTTCAGAAACTTTTCTCCCAAGGGATACCTAAGAACTGTGCTACAATTACCGAGGGGGGTCTGCAATGGGGAAAGGGAATTATCAGAAAGCTTTTGATATACCTTCCTGTCAGTAGAAAACAGAGCTTGGAAAAAAAATTATCAGTTCAATATTTCTGTCTCATTATGTTCACTAGAATCATGATTCAAGAGATTTTTTCAGACTAATCTCTAAAAAATGATGTACAAATTTCCCTTGGAAAGGGTATCTGGGCTAGCACCAACACTTCACCAAAAATGTAGGCTTCATGGGTTAGGAAGGATGGGAGTTGTCCTCCTCCTGTTTTAGTGTGTGAAATTCACTTACATAGTTGTTTTCTAAGTACTACTGTGTCTAGCAGTCATTTACCAGAGAGACAGCAGCACCCCAATAAGCCCAGCAGCCCCCAGCTTTGGGTCTGGCCACTAAGGAAAGGAAGAGTGCCTACATGGATCAGTCAATGCCCTGGCAGTTGACCTAGAACCTACCAGTATAGAGTGTCTTGATGAGCAGGGGTCTCAGGGAGGGAGGCGGGCAAGACCTTGATTAGTGAGACAACAGGCACACCTCAAGGCAACTCTGAAGCAGCCTGAGGCTGCAGCTGGCCCACTGTCCTAAGAATCATGGACTCACAGGGCCTCATGGGGCTAGGAAAGGGGTGTTCAGACTCAAGCTATTTCAACCCTACCAATCCCTGGCAGAGGAGGATTCCCTTGTTTACTCTTGGCAAACCCAGGGGAGTGAAGCAAGAGCAAGCAGGCGGGGAGAGGAGGTAGAAGGTGCCATAAACTTTCATCCTTCTAGGTCTGAGAACGAGCATGGGCAGTGCTTGGAGAGATGAGGCAGGAATCGTCACCATGTAGTACTAATTTTAAACAGCATGGGCAATTAAATAGCAATTCAGCATATTGAGAAAGGCTTGTTTTGGAAGATACTGGTGACTGGCTAAGCTTGTGTCTACCCTTCTGGCATGCATTTTGCCAACTGCTTTTTATCTCCACAAAAAAAAGCATATCTAAGCCATCAACAGACACTAATCAAAGAAAGCTATTACCTAAATCACACACTGACATCCTTTTAAAATGACATTTTAAAAAATTGAGTTGAGATAGACGGAGCAGACAAAAATACGGCTACACATGTTTTTCATCAGCAGAAATAAAAGTGGCCCAAGGTGACCTTTTCAGTAAGAAAATGGAATGGGACAAAGCCTTCCTTCCATGCCATTCACCCACTTAAGAAAAACAGTGCCAGTAGCTGCATGTAGAATAGAAAAAATGTGTCATTTTAAATGAACTTGGAATTTCACAGAAGGTGTCCTTCCATCTTAAGACTGGAGAAGACAGCCATGTAGATCTCTGAGTGATCTTATGCCACTCATGGTTACCATGAGTTCTTCTGAGGAAAAAAATTATAAAGAAAATGTAAAAACAATACTCACCTCATCAAAATTACGCAGATAGTATGACACAATGTATGACAGAAGACTTCTGCTATTGTCCTGTGTAAAAATACAACATAATGGAGATTTAACTTACACAGTATCACACACACACACACACAATATCTGCATGTTTATAGTCTCAACTAGAGTAGTTTCTGTTCCTGGAAAAGAAGGAACTTTAATATAGTTTGGTAAAGGATGTCTCAAAGGACATCGAAGGAGGCCAAACTAATGTGCATCTGTGCAATTAATAAAGTGATTTGATGCTCTACACATATGAAGACAGACTAAACAGAAAAACGGGACGTAACATGCATTAATTAACTAGGAACCTTGTGGAATGAGCAGCACAAGAATATAGATTCTGAGCTATCTGGTTTCCCTTTTTCTGTCTTATAACAGAAGACCTTTTCTCTGGCCTCTCTTTCTATCCTTCTACAATTATTTCATTTACTGTCTATTAGTATTTTCAGATAGTGCAGCGTAAGGATAGGAAATAACAAGACAGATGAGATGCATACATTTATTAATAAGTAAATGCAAGCTGTCTGAATTACTATGATGTAGTCAAAGTAGTGGCTACTGTTTATAACTGAAAACTTTATTAATAGATAATTCAGTGAACTCGTTGTAGTAGGTACACGGAAGACAAAACTTCTTCATAATGTATAGAATTCATTACCATAGGAAGCTGCAATAACCACCAGAGCAGGTAGAGAAAGAGGTACTTTTCTCCCTTTCTCACAATACAAGAACTCGTGGGCACTCCATGAAATTGCTGAGCGGTTGGGTTAGAATGGATAATAGGAAGTACTTCTTCACCCAAAGAGTGATTAACACTTGGAATTCATTGCCACAGGAAGTGGTGGCAGCTACAAGCATGGACGGCTTCAAAAGGGAATTAAATAAGCATATGGAGCAGAGGTCCATCAGTGGCTATTAGCCACAAGGTATAGATAGGGGCTCTGGGGCAAGTGATGCTCTGTCTTCTTGGTGCTTGGGGGGTCAACAGTGGGAGGGCTTCTAATGTCCTGGCCCCACTGGTGGACCTCCTGATGGCACTGGTATTTCTGGCCACTGTGTGATACAGAGTGTTGGACTGGATGGGCCTTTGGCCTGATCCAACACTGGCATCTCTTATGTTCTTATGTTCTTACCAGCATAAATGGCTATTCAAAGTGATGGTCACAATCATGAAGAAGAGGTATGTTGACCATTATAGCTAAAAATGAAGCCTCTATATTCATAGGCAGAATACCTTCCACTTCTACATCTTGGTAACAAACAGAAAATGGCTTTTCCGGCATGCCCAACTTGAAAACTTCTCAGAGGCTTCTGGCTAGCCATTGTGGGAGAAAGAATGCTAGCCTAGATAGAGCTCTGGTACGACTAAGCACAAGAAGTATTATATTCTTAAAATTCTTATATTCTTTAAAGGGAAAAATGTCACAACTGATTTGTCATTTCATAGCTCATTAACAAAGAAAATACACACACAATTCAAAATGTAATACACATGTAACACCCATTTGGGGAAATATTCAAATGTGGGAATTATAAAACAAAATATTTTCTGGGAAGACTTAGAAAAGACAGACTACAGTTTTTATAAGTGACCAAAAAGCATGTTTTGAAGCTTATTATTAACAAATGTACATAATTTATTTACTTGACATTCTCAGAATCTCTTCTCTAATTACTTACACTTAATAGCTACAATTTCACCATAAATTAATACTAGTCCCATGGGCCTTGTATGCAAAACCTATTCATAAGTGTACAGTTTGTGTCTTGGTGGGAGATTAGGATCA